GCTTTGTTTAGGAGTTTCAAATCCTACTCATGAAAGAAACTTCTGTGCTATGGAGAGTATATTATTGAGCAAAATAAATGCTATGGAGGGTATATTATTGAGTAAAATACTGTAACAATTTTAAATGTCTCAACATTGATAGCTGTCTATGGCTATGTAAGAGAGTATCCTTATTCTTAGGAAATACAGGGCTTGATATAGTAGCACTGGAGTCCCGGTGTGGTGCTGTAGGAAAAGTACTGGATTGTTAACCACAGGTCAGTGGTTCAAATAACCCTGAGAAGGGGATGAGATGAGAGTTTGGCCATTTAAAAATAAAATGGATTACCAGGGAATGGAGGTCGTGGAAGATCATGTCAATTTTTTGCTTTGTTTTGTTTTTCTAGAGATAAAACTGGTCACTCCATAGCAAGAATTATAAATAGAATACATTTATGGCTGTTTGGGAGCAGCCTCTTACATCTGTTTCATTGCCTTTCATTTTGCAATCTAAATCCAAAAATTACATCGCAATTACTTGTCCCTATACCTGGTGTGGCACTGTGGGTTAATGCGTCAGACTGCAAAGCCATTTGAACTGCAAGGTTAGTGGTTCAAGCTCACCAACTGCTCCTTGGAAACCCTATACAGAGTCATTATGGATCAGAAACAACTCGACGGCACTTAACAACAACAACATACCATGACAAACATTTACTCCAAGCTGAGAGGAAGTCGTTTGTTTTTTCTCAGATCTTTTTCTAGGAAAGGTGCATATTAATCACAATGCTGGTGTTGATGAAGGTTGGCATTTTAGGCTGAAATTCATCCCGTTATAAAATAACAAATCATCTTAAAACATAGGTTTCAACATTTCCACTTGAAAAGACATACAGACCAACCCAGAACTGCTAGAAGAACAGAAGATTCTTATTGAAAGAAAGACATGCAGAAAAACAGGCAGACTTCGGCTGTTTGAGTATCAAGCAAGCTGTTTGCTTTGGAGGCATCAAGGAAAGAAAAGTCAGCTCATCAGGGGAAACCCCCTTCTAGGATGGAAACTCCAAGGGAACCCACGAACAGTCTAGTATACTTGCTGGTCACCACCTGGATCTACTCTTGAGTGGAAGTGGGGAAAAGCAGCAATGAAGATGTGGGCTGAGTTTGGCCATGTTCCATCAGCACACATTGACCTTGAAAGGTGAGAGAGAGAAGAGTATGGCTCCTGAGCCCATGAGCAGAGACCTAGCTCCTGGGGGCTAGGGCTGAGAGTAAAGCCACCAGCTGGTCTGAAGTGCAAGGAGGTATGTGTGTGAACTCCCAAGCTTGCAGCTAGTACCCATTTGACCTAACTTGGGTGGCTAACTAACCAGAATTCCAACTGAGGAAGATAAAGATGTTTGATACTGAGAACAAGTGCAAATTGCTGCAATTCAATAACCTAGTCCTTTGCCTATGAATGCAGAGACTCAAAGTTCCAACCAGAATGGAAGGATTCTTTATATCAAGGAACAACCTTGTTTCCTCAGTGTACCGGATTGGTAGGGATGACAAACGTATACATTGGCTATCAAAAATGGGGGAACTACAAAGACATGAAGTGGCTGGTTTATAAGCTTTCATGAGTGTGCTTAGTTGCAGAATGAGGTGGATAAGGTAGAATCTCCACTGAATAGTTTGCCTTCTTTCCCAGATGGATCTGGTGAAAGGGGATGGGGCATGACGGTGATAGGAATTTATGATTCAATTGTGAGTAACTGTTAGCAGGATTAATTGCGATAGTCACAACTGTAATTATAGACGATATGTAACTAAAAGGGGGGGAGTAGTTACTCTTTCATTTCAGGAACAGACAATTCCAAGACCATCAAGAAGGAAGAGCATGAGTGGAGCGTGAGATCCCTACGTAGAAAACTGGTGACAGCAGAGACAGTGGCTGTGTGCCTGTGGAAAGCAGTTTGGACGACAGAATGTGCCCTTTGGACATTTAAATGAATATATACATATTCAGAAATCCTAACATACCACTGTGGGTTAATGTGCTGGACTGTAAAGTCGGTTTGAACTGCAAGGTCAGTGGTTCAAGCTCACCCTATGCAGGGTCGCTATGGGTTGGAACTAACTCGATGGCACTTAATTACAACTTTGTGTTGTAAATGTACATCAAATATTTTTGCCTTGTTCATTTGTGAAATGTAAAATGCAAATAGGAAGGAAGTAGAATCAATGTTGTTGCAGGGAGGGGATTGTAATCATTAAGATGAAATAAGGTATATAGCTTGTTTAATGTAGAGCTGATGACCTTGTCTGTAAACCTTCACAATAAAAATTCACAATAAAACAATACAGATGTATAGGCTCCAAGAAACTGAATTTCATTAGGTATGGAGCAATGGAAAGTACTTTCATTCATTAAATCAAACAAATATTTATGGAATACCTACAGGAGCCAAGATGATGTCAGCTTGAGGACTAAGGTGTGCCTGACCCAAGCCATGGTATTTTCAATAACCTCATATGGATGCGAAAGCTGGACAGTGAATAAGGAAGATCGTAGAAGAATTGATGCCTTTGAGTTGTGGTGTTGGAGGAGAATACTGAAAGTGCCATGGACTGCCAAAAAAACCAATAGATCTGTTTTGGAAGAAGTGCAACCACAGTGCTCCTTGGAAGCCAAGATGGCTAAGCTTCATCTCTCATACTTTGGACACATTGTCAGGAGAGAACAGTCGCTGGAGAAGGATGTCATGCTGGGTAAGGTGGAGGGTCAGAGAAAAAGAGGAAGACCCCCAACAAGATGGATCAGCCAGGTGACATCATTGATGGACTCAAGTGTGGAAGCGGTAGTGAGGTTGGCCCAGGATCGGACATTGTTTCGTTCTGCTGTGCATGGGGTTGCTATGAGTCAGTTCCGACTCGATGGCACCTGACAACAACAACAGGAGCCAAAGGAACCCTGATGCTACAGTAGTTAAGTGTTCCAAAAGGTCCATTGTTCAAACCCACCAGCTGCTCCAAGGGAGAAAGATGCGGCAGTCTGCTTCCATAGAGATTAGTCTTGGGATCCCTGTGGTTCTCCTTTGTCCTATAGGGTCACTATGACTTGGAATTGACTTGACGGCAATGGGTTTTGTCTTATGATACAGTTGGGTGCTAAAAACAAGACCAATCTGGTCCCTGCCCTCATGGGGTTTACATTCTAGAAGGTGAGATTGGCGGGTAGAGATTGAGGGGTGGTGCAAACAGTTAATGAACTGGATTGCTGGCTAAAAAGTTGGAGGTTTGAGTCTACCTAGAGGCACCCTGAAAAGAAAAGCTTGGTGATCTTCTGAAAAAACAGCCCTTGAAAACCCTCTGGAGCACAGTTCCACTCTGATACAGAGTTGACTGACAGCAATTGGTAGGAGAGATTACAGTCAAATTAGAAAGAATTTCAAAAGGTGATACATGCTGTGAGGAAAATAAACCAGGGTAACAAAATGGCAAGTGACTGGGAAAACGCTGGAGACGGAGTTACATGTCCTAGAGCCTATGAGCTATCTCTACAGCCCTTGGCTTGTCACTTCACCTCTGACCTTATTTGTTTATTCAGACATTGATGACTTGAATTTTTGACCTCTGAGTAGCATATCATATCAGTCCAATATCCCTCTGTCCCTACACATGTATAAGACGTGCCGTGTAGTTACGAATATGTCATTAAAGAGCTAAAGAGAGTAACGGGTCAAAGCCACCTCATGCAATGGTCCTGCTGTTAGGACATAAATAATCCTGTATACTACTACTCAGAAACCCTATACAGGGTCGCTATTAGTTGGAACCGACTCGACGGCACCAGACAATAATTTACCCTTTGGGAGTCCTGGTGTGGCACTGTGGGTTAATGGGCTGGACTGCAAAGTCGGTTTGAACTGCAATGTCAGAGGTTCAAACTCACCAGCCGCTCCTCGGAAACCCTACAGAGGGTCGTTATGGGTCAGAACCGACTCGATGGCACTTAACAACAACAACAGTAGAATGATAAAAGTGGGTGACTTGGGAATTTCACCGTCTTCACAATGAAATAAAAAGTTCATGATTCAAGGAACTCAAGGTATCCGCTGATGAAAAGGCACCTCAGAGAGCTGACATTTAAAAGAAAAAAAAAAAGCATAAAATCAATTTTAATCCCATGTCCCTCCCTAAGGACATAGTCTCACTGCTATGAAATCCAGGGAAAAGCATCAGGTGAGCCATTGTTACCAACAAACACCTGAGAACGCTTTACAGGGACTTAAAGGAACCACTTTCCTGAACCTCAGAGAACCTCAAAGAACATTCCTCAAATCGCCTCCCGGAGTCCCCGCCCTCGGTTTGTCACCAAAGTGCGTCATAGGACCGAACTTGTTGTCATAGAAGGGAAAAAGAAGTAAGTCGCGCGAGATTCACCAACGGGAGTTCGAAGTTAGGAAACAGCAGTCACGCATGCGCACTGCCCTCACAACCTCAGGCTGCACGCGGGGTAGGTAGGCTTAGATCCCAGAGGAGGGGAGCAGAGCGTGCTGGTTTCTGGGTTTTGCTTTTCCCTTCCCCTCGCAGTGAGTGGGTCTGCGAGTCCGCAGCGCTGCGGAGCGGAGGACCTGGCTGGGTTTGTCCAGCGCACTGTGTCGCGGGAGCCCTTCTCTTGCAACTCGTGGAGGAGTGCATCGGGCGTGTGCCCGGCGTCTGGACGGGAGCTTGTGCTCGCCTTCTCCTCTCACCGTCTCCCCACACTCCAGTCCCCCCTATAGTTGGTCTTGGCGTCTCGGGGTGCCCATCTGCACCGGACCCCTCCCATTGGACCCCCGCTGCTTCTCCCTCGCCCATCCCGAAGCGCTCGCAGTCGGCTTCGTCCCTGGGGGTCCCTGCTTGGGGGCGGAGAAGATGGCTGGCGGGCGTCTGCTGTTGGGGGGCGACTTCCTGTCGCCGCCGCCGCTGCCGCCCCTCCCGCCGCCGCCGCTGCCGCCCCTCCCGCCGCCCCCGCCCGAGTCAGTGTTGGAGCAGTGGCGCTATAGCCACGAAAGCGACTGGCAGTGGGCTCTGCGGCGCAGCTTCATCTGCCGGCACCTGCACAGCTATCCCGGGGCTGCGCTGGACCAGCTCCTTGCTCTCTCCGCTGCCTGGACCAACCACGTCTTCCTGGGCTGCAGGTGAGGCGGGCATGGGGTCGGGATCTGGTGGGGATTGGGTCAGAGGAGGGGTCGGGATAGGGATGAAGGTGAGATACGGATGAGGGCTTGGAAGCTGGAGATTTGGCAATGCTGCAAGACATCAGAGGGCTCACCATTGGGCTGGGGGCTGGAGAGGGTGACCGACTGAGGTGGCAAGGGATGACATAACAATTCGAAGGGTGCGGGGATTTGGGGGGGGGGGCTAGCGATAGAGCTCTGGCAGCACCTGGAAGAATGAGATTGTGAGGTGGTCGTAGTGGTGATGGTTTTAAAGGGCGGAGAGATAGATGAGGACTAACGGAGGGCCTTCTATGGAGGCAGTATCCGCAGAGAATATTACACCGTGGAGGCTTGGACGGCCTGCGGAACTGACCGTGTTCTTCTCCGTGCCCTTTAAATGAAACACCTCCCTCCAACTGCAGCCCTCCTGGCTCCCTCGGCTAGGTCTTCCCATCTTCTGCAAGGTTTGTGTAAGGTCTCTGAGCTGTAGGGTCCACTGTGGCTTGCTGATTTGCGCATATTGTGCCAGGACTCAAACAAAGAAATGAATATATAACTGTTAAAAAAAAAAAATGAATTGCCCTTTTTTGCCCCAAATGGGATGAGAAGAATCAACATTGGGCTTCTGAGTGAGGTTTTTGTTTGTTTTGTCTCAGAACCTAGTGCACTGGGCAGAGGCCTCTTTCAAAGCTCGTTGCCTTCAATGGAGACTGCAGTGTGGTTTCCAACGCATTTCTTTTTTACAACGGGCTACTTGGGCCCCTGTCCTGCAGAACAAGTCCCCTCCCCCAAATAAGCTCTATACCAGACTAACCATTCCTGTGACCAACTGGGAAGCTGCTTTTTTGACACTCCAACCTCACAGTGAAGTGTTTTGTTTTTTAATCAGGAACTAAGATTCTGGAACATGATCAGGTCATATTCAATCAGTTTGGACTCAGGAAAGACCCTGTTAGAGATGCAGATACATAGGACTGTCCACTTCTCTCCATAAGGATTGAGCACGACGTTCAGTGCAGTGCTTTGCTTTGCTATCATCACAAACGTTTATTCTCTTTGCCTTCTCTAGGTTAGTATAATTTCTTCCTTCAGAGATAATGAATTTCACTGGAGGAACTGGTGGAAACTGGGGAAGCCTCATTATTGCATCAAGTCAGATCAATTTAATTACCCTTTGCTTAACAGTGTTGTAAAGGTACCGTTATCTCATGCTCTTAACCAAAAAAGAAAAAGAAAAAAATAAACACACATTGCCGTTGAGATTGATTCCAACTCAAAGCAACCCCATATAGGGTTTCTGAAACTAAACTAAACCCATCAGTCTCCTGTGAGGCCACTGGTGGGTTTGAACCTCTGATTTTGTGGTTAGCAGTCTACTGCTTAGCCTGTAACACCACCAGGGCTCCTTGCTCATAGTCTCCTTAATAAAGGCCATGAGGAATCTGAATCCTTGAAAGAAAAAAAGAAATGGCGTGGGGAATGGGCATAGCCATCATTTGTTTATCATAAATCTTACCTCTAGAATGTAAGGTCCTCTAGGGCAAGGGATTTTGCTTTCACACTTGTGTCCTCAATGTCTAGAAAAGCATCTCATACCTAATAGCCTCTCAATAAATGTGTGTGGAATGAATGGATGTGTAGCTTCACAATGTACTCACCCAAACTCACTGCCATCGGGGCAGTTCGGACTCATAGTGACCCTGTCTAGGGCGTGCAAGACTGTAACTCTCTCACAAAGTGGCTAATAATGGGTTTGAAATGCTTACCTTGTGGTTAATAGCCCAACACTTACCCTACAGTGCCATCTCATTTAATACTCAACAACCAGCCTTGGCAATTTGGTGGTATCTCATTTTCACAGTTAAAGCCAGAGTGGCCAAGAACTTTAAGGACTTGGCCAAGGAAGGAGTTAAATGACTTGTCCAAGGTCCCCCAGTTGGGATTAAGAGCCAGATCTTCTGATGTATGATGATGGTCTTTCCACTATTTGGGAAGGATGAACCAGAAGTGAAAAGCAAGCCAGCCATATCAGTATATCTTAGGATTTCATTCCAAGATCAGCAGCTTTAAACATAGCCAAGGTATTCACACACACACACACACACACACACACACACACCCCAGGCCAATAGTATAAACCTGTAAAGCCATATCTGTTTCTGTCCAGTCAGTTCTGACTGCTGGTACCCCCATATGTTACAGAGAACTGCTCCATAGAGTTTTCTTGGCTGTAATCGTTACAGAAGCAGATTGCCAGGTCTTTCCTCTGCAGTGCCACTGGATGGGTTTGAACCACCAAACTTTAGGGTAGGAGTTGAACCCAAACCCTTTGTACCACCCAGATCTGGATCTTAGGCCAGTGATAAACTCAAAAACCCTCTGCCGTCTTGATGAGAAAGCATGCTGCCACATCTTTCTCCCATAGGGCAGCTAGTGGGTTCGAACCCACTACTATTTGGTTTAGCTGTCATGTGCTTTAACCACAACACCACCAGGGCTCTTAACTTAGATACAGAAGAAAGGAATGGAGCAAAAAAGAATCTTGGAAACGAAAAGCCAACTGAAGTCTTCCACGTAGAACGGGCTTTATGTTAGCTGTTGTCTTCAAGTGGGAGAAGGCCTATACAGGGACTCCAGTACTGGATGTTGACTTTGGCCGAGCTAGTGTTTTCTCGTCTGTTTGGTAATGGACTACTCTTCCTTTCCCTCAAGAGAACTGCAGAATACATAGTTAAATTTGTTACATTATTATTGTTATGTGCCACGGAGTCGGTTCTGACTCATAGCGACCCTGTATAGGGTTTCCGAGGCTGTAAATCTTTACGGGAGCAGAACGCCTCATCTTTCTCCCGCGGAGCAGCAGGTAGTTTCGAACTGCTGACCTTGCGGTTCGCAGCCCGATTCATAACCACTGCACTACCCGAGCTCCTGCCCAAAAGGTCAGCAGCTCAAACCCACCAGCCATGCTGGGGAAGGCGAGGAAAGCTGTGGTGGTTGGCTTCTGTAAAGATTTATAGCCGTGGCAACCCTTTGGGACCATTGTCTGTTCTTTTGGGTCACTATGGGTCAGAATAAACTTGATGACAAGGGATAAACATGTTAATTTGTTGTTCAGAGTTTATCAGTTGGCTTTGGAGCAGCTAGATAACAGTTGCAAAGAGGAGAACTCTGCACACATCTTCTCCAGCAGGGTCTGTACTCCATGAGTTGGGGCAGAAATAACTCCTAGGTTAAAGATGTCTTTGAGAACTCTTTGATCATTAGACCCAGCCAGGAGGAAGGAAGTCAGATGTGTGGAGAAGTAAGCCATTTTTGTTTGGTTTTGTTCTGGTTTCTATTCTGTTGGCAGTAGTGGCAATTTCCATGGAACAAGTTGACTGTCTTCTTGGGATTCCAGCAGTGGTCCTCATGCTTAAGTGTGTATCAGAAACACCTGTAAGACTTGTTCAATACAAGGTTCTGATTCGGTGAGGCCCACGAAGTTAAAAGTTTTCACAAGCTTCTGAGTGCTGTTGATGTTGCAGGTGCAGGTGCAGGGACCACATTGAGAAGCACTGCTTTATCAGTTTTAACACAAAGCAATGTTTTCCAGTCTGCTTTTTCTAATTTTTTAACCTTTTTTTTTTTTTTTTTTTCTCTGTAGTTCAGGGAGCCATACCCATTGCCATCGAGTGGGTTCCGACACCTAGTGACGCTATGCAGCAGAGAAATACTGTTGCTCCCCATAGAGTTGCCCAGGTGATCATCTTTCAGGACAGACTGCCACATTTGTTTCTCCCACAAATTGTCTGGTGGGTTCAAATTGCTAGCCTGGTAGTTCACAGATGATCAGTGAGCCACTGGGTCGCCAGGGCCGCTTCCCAGGCAAACAGGAAGCTCAATTCCTCTTTACCGTGTCATTAGTCTGTTTTGTAAAAATTCACAACCTACATGGAAAATTTTTTTTTTTTCTGCAAACAATTGTTTTGTGGCTGATGTAAAGTTAGTGTTCTAATCAGCTGCCTCGACAGCACTTCAGTCATTATCCCTGCAAACCCCTAGGGGTTAAAAAAACCTGCAGTTTTCACTTAAAAATATTGTAGAGCTTGTATTTATATAGTTTTCCAATCATTCTTCATAGGGGTAGAAGCAGTTTCTGGCCTGTTCATCTTTGATGGGACACGGGTCAATAGGGAAATTATAGCTTAAAATGAAACCAGCCTGCTGAGTGGCTTCAGGTTATGACATTAACTTTTCATATAGTAAGTAGAGCATATAAGTATATATGTGATGGTTCCGTGGTAGAATTCTCAACCTTCCATGCATGAGGTGGAGTCCTGGTGTGGCACTGTGTGGGTTAATGCACTGGACTGCAAAGTCCGTTTGAACTAAAAGGTCGCCAGTTCAAGCTCACCAGCCGCTCTTTGGAAACCCTATACAGGGTTGCTGTGGGTTGGAACGGCACTAACAACAACAGCAATGCATGTGACTGGGGTTCAGTTCCTAGCAAGTACACTTCTAATGTAGCCATCACCCCTCTGTCAGTGGAGGATTGTGTGTTGCTATGATGCTAAACAGGTTTCAGCAGACTAAGAAAGACTAGGAAGAAAAGCCTGGCAATCTGCTTTCAAAAACAAGCCAGAAGGGGGCGATAAGGGCATAAAGTGACTGACTTACAAAGTTTCAAGAGGGAGTTTAATTTCAGAGTGTGTGGGGGGAGTTAGAGTTCCCACTGAATAGTTTTCATCTTGTCTAGACAGGTCTGGTGAAAGGAAGTGGGAATAAGGTTCTTATGATTCAATAGTGAGTAATTGTCATCATGACTAATTTGACTAATCAAAATTGTAAAGGTAGAAGTTTTTTGACAAAAATTGGGGAGTAGTTAATTTTTTATAGTCCAGAAACAGAGGACCCTAGGACCATCAAGAAAGAAGAGCACAAGCGGAATGTGGAACCTTATCCAGAGAAGCAGCGACACCAGAGATGGAGGCAGAGATGGG